CTTCCTTAAATATCGAATATTTCACTATATTTATCTAGCAATTTAATTCCCCAAGTGCCGCTAGCTAAGGCCTCGTGGCGCAATTAGTAGCGCGTCTGACTCCAGATAAGAAGGTTAGGTGTTCAAATCACATCGGGGTCAAATTCGTTTTGTCATTTCTCAGTTCGTAAAAATTAGAGTCAACCATCTGTAAAAGATTCCTCTAATGCTGGTGTCACCAAGTTCCCACGTGGTCTAGTTGCTATGATCTGGCGCTCTCACCGCCATGACCCGGGTTCGATTCCCGGCGTGGAATTGTCTATTTCTTCTTTTAAATATCCAATATTTCACTATATTTATCTGCAATTTAATGCTCGTGCTAGCTAAGGCCTCGTGGCGCAATTGGTAGCGCGTCTGACTCCAGATCAAAAGGTTAGGTGTTCAAATCACTTGGGGGTCAAATTCGTTTTGTCATTTCTCAGTTCGTAAAAATTAGAGTCAACCAACTGTAAAAGACTCCTCTAATTCTGGTGTCACCAAGTTCCCGCGTGGTCTAGTGGCTATGATCTGGCGCTCTCACCGCCTTGACCCTGGTTCGATTCCCGGCGTGGAATTGTCATTTCTTCTTCCTTATATATCCATATATTTCACTATATTTATCTTGCAATTAAATGCTCCGTGCAGCTAGGTATAAGGCCTCGTGGCGCAATTGGTAGCGCGTCTGACTCCAGATCAGAAGGTTGGGTGTTCAAATCATTTCGGGGTCAAATTCGTTTTGTCATTTCTCAGTTCGTGGGTCAAATTCGTTTTGTCATTTCTCAGTTCGTAAAAATTAGAGTCAACCATCTGTAAAAGATTCCTCTAATGCTGGTGTCACGAAGTTCCCACGTGGTCTAGTGGCTATGATCTGGCGCTCTCACCACCATGACCCGGGTTCGATTCCCTGCGTGGGAATTGTTCATTTCTTCTTCCTTAAATATCGAAATATTTCACTATATTTATCTGCAATTTAATTCTCAGTGCGCTAGCTAAGGCCTCGTGGCGCAATTGGTAGCGCGTCTGACTCCAGATCAGAAGGTTAGGTGTACAAATCACATCGGGGTCAAATTTGTTTTGTCATTTCTCATTTGGTAAAAATTAAAGTCAACCAACTGTAAAACATTCCTCTTATGCTGGTGTCACCAAGTTCCCACGTGGTTTAGTGGCTATGATCTGGCGCTCTCACCACCATGACCCGGGTTCGATTCCCGGCGTGTGGAAATTGTCTATTTCTTCTTCCATATCCATATATTTCACTATATTTATGTTTCAATTTAATTCCCAGTGCAGGTAGCTAAGGCCTCGTGGCGCAATTGGTAGCGCGTCTGACTCCAGATCAGAAGGTTACGTGTTCAAATCACTTCGGGGTCAAATTCGTTTTGTCATTTCTCAGTTCGTAAAAATTAGAGTCAAATAACTATAAAAGATTCGTCTATTGCTGGTGTCACCCAGTTTCCACGTGGTCTAGTGGCTATGATCTGGCGCTCTCACCCCCATTACCCGGGTTCGATTCCGGCGGGAATTGTCTATTTCTTCTTCCTTATATATGCATATATTTCACTACATTTATTTTGGAACTTATTTCCCATCGCATTTAGCAAAGGCCTCTTGGCGGAATAGGTAGCGCGTCTTACCCCAAATCAGAAGGTCAGGTGTTCAAATCACCACGGGAGTCAACCAACTCTAATGGATTTCTATAATGCTGCCATAACCTATGGTCTAGTGGCCATATTTAGGTGCTCCTGTTACGTAATTCATCATGTGACACATATCACATGACTTTATGTATAAGTATTCGGGACAATTTATATTGTGTGGTTAGATCCATGTAATAGCATGCTAGAGAAGACGTAATAAAGTTTTTTTATTAAAACATAACATGGTGGCAGCGGTGTAAAAAATATAATTAAAGGAGATCTAAGAAGCCAGATAACGCTACTGTAGATGGCAGTTGAACAAGCGACAAACGCTCCGATCATACATGGGATTCAACCGCCAACGGGTTTGGATCTGAAATGTAGAAATAAAGCCGAGAATTGGAGGACATATAAACAACGCTGGGAGAACTACACAATTGTGACACAACTAGACAAACAACCAGAAGAATATCGAGTCGCATTATTCCTATATTGCATAGGACAAGAAGCCGTGAAAGTTTACAATAGTTTCGATTTAGTGGCCGAGGACAAACGCAAGTTGGTAAAGATTATTGATGAGTTTGATAAGTATGCGATTGGCCAAGTTAATGAAACGTATGAACGATACAACTTCAACAGCTGTGGTCAACAAGACGGGGAAACTATTGATGAGTACGTCGCCAAACTAAGAACATTGGCACAAACATGTGGTTTCTGTGTCTGCTTGCATGATTCACTTATTCGCGATAGGATTGTGCTTGGGGTAGCCGATGCTAGCACACGGAAACGACTGCTACAGCATTCGAAATTGACTTTACAAGAAAGCATTGTAATATGCCGAAGTTTTGAAGCGACAAATTCGCAGATTAGACAGATGGGCGAACAGAATAAATTGGACGAAGTAAACAAAGTGCTATCAACCAAATCGAGAACAAAGCAGGGCGGAGCAAGAAACAAAGCAAACTATGGTGAGTCCAAACAAGAGTTATCACAATACAAAGCGTGTGCATATTGTGGAAGAAAGCATAAGTTTGGACGAGAATCGTGTCCAGCATGGGGTGAGACGTGTAATTCATGTGGAAAGCGGAATCATTTTGCAAAGCAATGCAGACAACGCAGGAGAGACAATACGAACCAAGTGAAAGCAGACTCGAGCTCGAGCTCCGATTGTGAGTATATCGATAGCGTGACTGTGAAACCAGAAAAGATAAGCTCGATTAATCAACAGTTATCGAAAGAAGTATATGCTAAAATGATTGTAAGAGGAAACCCAATTAAATTCCATGTCGATTGCGGGGCAACGGTAAACGTGTTACCAATGAAGTATTTAGTAGGTGAAAACATTCAACCAACAGACAGAACTCTACAGATGTGGAATAAGACAGAATTAAAACCAAAGGGAACTTGCCGTCTTACAATAAGAAACCCGAAAAATGACAGAAAATATTCCGTGGAATTTATGGCAGTTCGAGAGAATTTGACACCATTACTCGGGGCTAAAGCGATTCAACGCATGGGAATTGTCGAAATACATAAAGAGAATTTTGAACAAATAGCCAAAGTGAATAGTGGTACCAAAGACGCAACAGGTGCACAGTCAACAACGACAGTTATGAACCAAATAATTGAAGAATTTGCGGATGTGTTCGAAGGAGATGTGGGTACGCTAGTGGGAGAACAACATCTAGAAGTGGATCCAACAGTACAACCAACCACAGCTCCATCAAGACGAGTGCCATTGGCCGTAAAAGCAAAGGTGAAAGAGGAGTTAATGCGACTAATGAATCTTGGGGTTATACAGCCAGTTGATGAACCCACTGACTGGGTCAGCAACATGGTCGTGGCAACAAAACCATCTGGCGAATTACGCATCTGCATCGATCCCAAACAGCTGAACAAGGCCCTCAAACGTGAGAGGTATCCCATACCAGTTATTGAAGATGTGATGCCAGATATAGCCAAAGCCAAAGTTTTTACAAAGGTGGACGCCCGGAATGGTTATTGGCATGTGATGTTGGACGAAGAGTCCAGTAGATTGACGACATTCGACACGCCGTTTGGAAGATATCGTTGGAAGCGGTTACCGTTTGGGATCAGCGTTGCATCAGAGATCTTTCAGAAAAGGATCCATCAAGCCTTGGAACGGCTTGAAGGAGTGCTCGCCATACATGACGATATGGTCATATACGGAGTAGGTGACACCATTGAAGAAGCAAAAATCGATCATAATAGAAAATTGACGGACTTTTTCACAAGATGTAGGGAAACGGGAGTGAAGCTCAACAGAAGAAAGTTGGAGTTATGCTGTACGGAAATTCCATTCATGGGTCATCTTGTAACATCTGAAGGGTTGAAAGCAGATCCAGATAAAATCGAAGCTATAATGAACATGCCCAAGCCTACAGACGTAAAGGATGTACGAAGATTATGTGGATTTATCAACTACTTGGCAAAGTTCATGCCACATTTATCTGATGTAATGGAGCCACTTCGACAGCTTACCCATAAAGAAGCAGAATGGAAATGGATGCATGAGCACAACGCGGCTTTTGAAAAGATCAAGAGTATGGTGGTTGCAACGCCGGTACTGAAGTACTACAACCCTGACGAAGAGCTAACCATTCAATGTGATGCGAGTGACAAGGGATTGGGAGCTGCCCTTCTACAGCAAGGACAGCCTGTTGCCTTCGCAAGCCGCGCCCTGACAGATGTAGAAACAAGATACGCTCAAATAGAGAAAGAGATGCTGTCAGTGGTGTTTGCTCTTCACAAGTTTGACCAATATGCGTATGGACGACGGGTAACAATCGAAAATGATCACAAGCCATTGGAAGCCATAGCTCAGAAACCGCTTCACGATGCACCCAAACGGATTCAAGGTATGATGCTGAACATACAGAAATATGACACTGTGATTTCCTACAAACCTGGATCTCAGATGTATTTGGCAGATACTTTGAGCAGAGCCTTTCTGACCAGCAGTGCCAACACGCAAGGAGAATTTGAAAGAATTAACGCACTCAAAGCTATTCCACTTTCTAAAGAGAGAAAAGAACAGATAAAAAGAGATGCTGAGCACGATGATGTTCTCCAACGATTGAAAGACGTCATACAGCTGGGGTGGCCTGAGAGAAGCAAGATCTACCAACCATGCTTCACCCATATTATAGCTACAGAGATGAGCTTAGCGTGTACGATGGTCTGGTCTTCAAGGGAGAACGATTGGTCATTCCAAAGGGGACGCGACAGCAAATGAAGCTTGATGTACATAGATCACATATTGGTGTAAATGGGTGTTTAAGGAGAGCACGGGAATGCATGTTTTGGCCTGGGATGAGCGCAGAGATGAAGGAGTTCATAGGTCAGTGCGAGACGTGTCGAAGATATGAGACTCGACAGCAGAAAGAAACGCTGATGAGCCACGAGATAACAGAGCGACCATGGGAAAAAGTGGGCGCTGACATCTTTACCATTGGTGACAATAACTACCTTGTATTGGTAGATTATTACTCCAATTTCTGGGAGATAAACCGCCTCGAAGATACCAAAGCAAGCACATGCATTAGAAAGATAAAAGGTCATTTTGCCAGGAATGGAATTCCGGATATCCTTGTCAGCGACAATGGTAGCCAGTTCGTCTCTGAGAGATTTGGAAACTTTGCAAAATTGTGGGGTTTCGAACATTGTGTAAGCAGCCCTGGACACCAGCAAGCCAATGGAAAGGCAGAATCTGCTGTAAAATCTGCAAAGAAGCTGATATGTAAGGCGGTTGAAACTGGAAATGATCCGTACCTGGCGATCTTGGCTCATAGAAATACCCCCACTGAAGAAGCGGAGTCCAGTCCAGCCCAGAGATTACTTGGTAGACGATGTAAAACCCTCCTACCGACCACTACTGAGTTGCTCAGGCCGGAGAGTATTCCAAATACAAAGATCATGAAACAGAGGAAAGAACGAAATAAGAAACAAGCGAAATACTACAATGTTGGTGCTAAAGATCTGTTGCCTCTGGAAGAGGGAGATACTGTGCGAATGCGGCCATTCAGAGTTGGACAGAAATCGTGGGATCGAGCAACAGTTAAACGAAGATACGATGAACGGTCATACGAGGTAGAGACCGATAGGGGAAATTACCGACGAAACAGAGTGGATATTAAGAAAACGATGGAGCAAAGTGAACAGCCCGCTATTGAGATCCAGCCAAAGACACCGGAAGGGTCAGGAAACGAGCGACATACCGTTCCAGCGATTATGAGTAACAATGATGAACAAAGAGTAACAATGAGGTTCAACGATGCAGCGACGGGCAACGATGAAGATCAGTACAAAGCTCAAGATTCTCCGGTAGCACAAGAATCACATAGACCAAGACGATTGAGAAAGAAACCCAGTTATTTGAAAGACTATGTCATGAACTGAATAAACAGTGAACAATTATGATCCTATTCATTAACTTTAACATTTTGAACTTTCCTAATTACAGTTATACTATCATTCCTAATAGAAGAAAACTGAAAAAAAAGAACAACACTTTATAACCTAGGTAGTTAGTATATTCATTATCTAGCTTTCATATAAGAGAAAGGATGTTACGTAATTCATCATGTGACACATATCACATGACTTTATGTATAAGTATTCGGGACAATTTATATTGTGTGGTTAGATCCATGTAATAGCATGCTAGAGAAGACGTAATAAAGTTTTTTTATTAAAACATAACAGCTCCCACTGCCATGGGTTTTTTTCGGCCCGGCATGGGAATTGTCTATTTCTTTTTTTTCAATTAGAATTCATATATTTCGTTATATTTATCTTGCTCTTATCAGTGCAGTTAGCTGACTACCGGGAAATTGACTATCAGGAAATTGGGTGTTCAAGTGACTTCGTTGTCATTTCTCGGTTGTTAAAATTAGAGTCAATGCAACCAACTCTAATAGATTCCTCTATTGCTGCCATCACCATAGAGATTATAAATAAAACTAAAGGAGGCATTATCACTGAGCTATATGGTATTTATGAGCTATATGGAATTTTAATATAGCTCAGTGATTGGTATCGTCCGAAAACATCAGCCGAAAAAGGGAGCGCGATATTGGGGGGTAAAATTCGACGTAAAATTCGTACTGTCATTTCTTGGTAAAAATTACGGTCGAGAGAGTCGACCAGTAGTCGACCAATGAGGGCAAGAATACTTGCGTAAGTTGCGTCCTCGTTTGTTTCGTGTTTTCGGGAGCACACGCGCGAAGCTACAGCGATTAAAAGACCCTGGGTACGAGGTTGCTTCGATTACTGGCGGAGGAAAAAAGGAAAAAGGTGTTTTTAAATTTGTAAAGTGGTAGCACAGTAGCACTGCGTTATTCAGATTGCATTTTCAATTTGAAGATTGTTGTGTCGGTTCCTCGATCATTTTTTTTCTCCTTTTAACGAACGAAATGAAATTTCGAATCGTTTCAAAAACCAATTTTGTGGTTTGAGAAGTGAAGTGAGTTAGGCAAATCGATTCGTTGTGGAAGGTTAGCGCGAATATGGTTGTTTAAAGATGAAATGAAATGGTGAATTTCACGCACGTGTTTTGCCGCATGCTGAAGACAGAAATTAATTTGAACGCGCAAGTCGATGCCTGATCTGGTCGATGATTGGCACATGTGCTTAGCTGTTTCTTCATAAAAAACACGATGGGTAAGTCCTTTTTTTGTTGGCTTATTTACTATTTAGATTGCAAAGTTAAACAATAATACTCGCTCGCCGTATATGCTCGCCGAAATAAATATGCGGGTGTGATTTAGTAATGAATCCTTTTTAATAATTCCCTTTGATACCAATTTAACACGTAGTAGCTTTTCTACTGAATCATACATGCTGCAAAACATTTGTATAAGGAAACCTACCATTCTGTAGTATTTTAATTCACAAGGTACATACATACCTATACATACATCACTTTATTCAAACAAGCTAGTCCCACTCAACTCTAATAATTGTTGTTTTCCAGGAGGGGCGTGTGAATAATACAAAGAAAATTGAGAATAGTATAATATTTACAAAAGTAGAGATAAATATGAAGAACTAGTTAATTATTTAATACTACAAGTTAAATGTAAGGTTTGCAATACTACGCTTAAAGTGGCTAACTGAAGTAGCTTTTTTGCTTCTGTTTGAAGACTATTCCACAGACTTGACGCACTGTAAATTCAAACTCTGTTTTAAAAAAATTGGTTTTTGGTTTTGGTAATTTTAAATCAGTGTCAAAATTTTGTAGATAATAGTCGCCCTCTAAATCTCTTACAAAATTATTAGTCAGGCACCAAGCTGAAAGCCCATTAAGGACCTTGTGCAATGGAACACTCTTAATTTAGCAGGTCTGACATTGAGAGTTTCTAATTTTAATTTTTGCAATATCATGCTGGGACTGGCATCGTAATTTGCACCAGTAATCACTTTATCTGCACAATTCTGAAGTACCTGCAATTTTTCCTTTAATTAAAGACTTATCACAAGTATCCCACAAAGGGGAGCAATAATCAAAGTATGGCTGAATTAAAGATTTGAATCACAAGATAATCTAATGAAATAAAAGATTTTATTCTTCTCAAGACACATAATTTCATATAGAGTAATTCTAAAGAAATTCATTCCATCTGGTATGCAAGCAAGGTGCAAATTTAATAGCAAATGCTAAAAATGATGTTATTTCACAGTCTAATTAACATTCAAGTTTCAGGTTCTATCTATTGATGGTTTATCAATTGAAAGGGAAAAAACATACTATCTTTCTTGGTAAAAAATTCTGTTTAATTCATATTAGAGAAAAATTAGGTACAAATACCATAAAAGTTATCGTAGCTTTATCTTAAGAATGTGTTACAGTATTATCAAAACACACAATCTAAATCAAAGTTATATGCAAAGTTATCAAACATTTCTTTAAGTCAAATGCCTTATAGGCCCATAGACACAATCTATATAGTATATTAATGCAAACAACAGATAAATGAGCACCTTTGCTTTGCCTTTGGGATTCTAGAAGGAAAACAAACAAGTTTAAAATGAGAGGCCCAAGACCTTCATGTGGTGCTTGCTTACAGATTGGCACCAAAAAGTGTAGTGGAGTCAGTCAGCTAGCACACACTAAAATCATAAGATTTATACTTTCAGTATACTGTCTTGTATACCTTTGCTTAAAAACACATGAGACATGAAAATTATATATCAAATTAGCTTATATTGGAAAAATCGGTCATCAAAAGGATTAGTTTGTGGAATTACAAGTTTTACACATGCAGGTCATTATGTATATTTGTTAATGCATCATATTCGTATTATGCTAACGAAAACCAACAGCTTTTAACAGAGCCTAGAGGTTTCTGCCTTTAGGTTTCATATGTATATATAAGTGTTTATATACATGTGTAAATTTAACTAATTTGATTTTATAAAAACTAAAAAAGTTATTTGTTTGTTTTTTCTTATAGAAATAGACTATTGCTTAACTGTGGGGTGCCATTATTGGTAAAAAAAAGACTGGGTTTTCTTTCACAGAAATACAATTTTCAAGGTCAGTTATGCGCTATTTTTTCATAGTTACTGCAACAATTCTAATCTTAATCTTATATCTAGTGTTGAGTATAGTTTTCATATCTTTTAAATTGGCTTTTCTTCCTTTTCGGAAGAATTTCTGAAATTAAATTTACCCAAACATTGTTTTATTAGCTCTGATAGGAAAAAAATACTGAAGAAAGCTTGGTACAAGTATATTTAAATTCTAATATGATATGAAGAGCTGCTTTTTGAGCCACTTGAACGCCATTCCACTAGGCAATTTTTTTGTGTGATGCGAAGCAGTATCTGAAATTCAGTGATGTGATTGGTTTGCCAAAAAATTTGCCCCAAAAAAGTAGAATCGCTTCCTACTTTTTATCTATTTGCATGAATAAATTCACCCAGTGGAGAACAGGCTTAATGCATCTATATGGGTAAATCAATTGTGATTTTTGGCACTTCACTCAATGCACATAAATTCTGAGGTTTAAAGGGTCTTTAACCTACGCAATACACCTTTTGCAACCTTCACTTTCAAGTTTTCCTGGTGTTTTGATTTATGAACATTAGCTTTTCTATATTTTTTTCATTTTTAACCAATTTAAAAAATATATATCAATATATCAAACCATTGATTAGTAAAAAAGCATACTTGAGAGAAAAAGGTATCACTCAAAACCGAACAAATGTTTGGTCTAATGCCAATTCAATCGATTACAAACTATCATCCCTTCTTTCTTCAAGGTGGTTGGAAATTACTGGTAATGTTAAGTTCAGTATCATTGCTACTTTCTTGGACTGTTGGCAAGTTATCTGCTATATGCCCTGGATTATGGTAGAACCCAATTGGAAAGCAGTGAGTCAAGACAATTTGCATACATTCTGCAATTGGAGTAATGAATGTGTGCCACCACCAGAGATCATTTCTGTCCTTTCCAATCAAGTATCTTTCAATCAGGAAGTTATGTAATAAGATAGGATCATGACTAATGTAAAATCACCGCAATCTAATATAAAACCAGTTAGGTTACTATCTTGGATTAACATCATCCAATTTGCAAAGAATGCTACTATATAAAACATGCAGCACCCCCTGAAACTTTCATGAAGCAATTGCTTTCATGCTAATCCGGATAAAACGCTCAAGAAAGATGTTCAAATACATATGGATATCATAATTGTAAAATCTTGTGGTTAGAAGAGAGTGATTTAACAAACATAAAGGAAAGAAATGTGCTGTCCAGTATATACTTTTGGTAACACAATCTATTTTCTGGACAATGAATTTTGAAGATTGGAGGAATACGAAAAACCAATAAAAATCTCTTCTGTGCAGGTAATTAGCAATAATTTTTACAACCTAGCTGGTCATTGTATGGGCAGTATGCATGCTTTCATCGATCATATGGCATATTTCATATAATTTTTGCCCTGCTTGAGATTAAATAGTGTGTATTATTATTGTTTGAATGTTCGTGCAATACAAAGTGTAAAACACTAGAAAAACCTAAATTACCTAAGGTATACTTCTTCTTGGAATTCCTTTAATATATAATAAGTGTGTTCAAAAAAAGTGTTTAATTAAAACATTGCATTTGGTTAAAAACTTGATCATATACCAACTTTTAAATAGACAATTCATCATACAACCAATTTTGTTTCATGCTTAATAAGTTGCTGGACATGTTCAGATATTCAATGTTAATTTACCATACAAAAATTGAAAATACATAAAAAATATTAATAGATCCACCCCAAGTTATAGCTTGTATTTTAAACGTTTTTCTCCAAACGGCTATCCAGTTTTAGGCCTGTGCACAGCCTTAAATTCCCCTGTAATTTAATTATGGATGAATTTAAGGCTGTTTTATTCCAGTTTTATACAAAATAGAGGACCACATAATGCTTGCAAGATGATTATAGTTTGATATTTATACAGTTGTTTATTTTTTAGGACTATGGTGTGATTAATCTGTTGGATGCTGTCCTGGATTGGGCCTTATAAAGAATCTTAAAAGTTTGCAAAAGTGTGTGGTGCCATCTTAAGCATAAGGCATTAGAACTTGTTGGACCAGTTCAGAAAGAAAATGGTATCCATCGCAATACAGTGATAAACTTATTCTGAACCTGCAACTTTTGATGCCAACCAGATTTAGAAACTTGAAACTGGATGATGCTATGAAAGTTATTATCATGGTTCCAAATTAGTGGATTTACATGGATTAATATATATGGATTTTACTTGTACACATGGTGAAGCAATATTGTATCTACCCTCTGAATATTGATGTTGCCAAGATTAAGGAAGTATACAGCAACAATAAGGATGTAGTTTCTTCTACACAGGTATGGTGATTAGCATTATATTTTTTGCAGCCAAACTTTTCATATACTGGGGTGTGCATGCTGTGCATTATTTATATTTTCATCCTTTTGCCTTACAAAAAGTGGTAATTGCATGCTGACTTTCATAATTTATTTAAAGAGAAGATGCAAATTTATGTTGTGGGAAATTGCTAGAATTCCAGCCCTTATAATTAATTTTAATTGGCTGCAGTTGAAGGGAAGCGCTTGAGTGCAAATGTACAATGTATGCTTGATAAACTTAATTTAATTCAAGCATAAAGTAATATTTCATGCTTTTACCATGCAAGTTGTCATTCTTACTAAAATCATACAATTTTCCAAAAAAAATTTTTATTTCCCAGTTTTTTTATAAAAATCCTTGTTTGAAGTTGTATGAAGCATTGTGAAACTGTGCTATTACATGGCGCCTTTGTAGAAAACATTTCCGCGTTTCTACTGCCTAGTTTGTCGTTTAAACTATTTCTGTTTAAACTATTTCTGTACCATAGAAAGGGGTGATTTGGGACATTTTTCCATGTTTGAAATAATTTGGTAATGAAAAAGCCAGAAAGGAGAAATCTTTAAATGTTATATGATTAAATCTCCATATCTAGTTTAAGCAGCTAATGTATATTTAGTTGTATGCTTGTCATGGTAGTTTTTATTTAAAAATAACCTGGTTGTATTGGGACCACTAGTAAAACACATCAGTTTTCACTTTGTACCACATGTGGTTGGGACAATGATGAGGTGATGTAGGACATATTCATAATTTCATTCAAATTCAAAGATTTTATTCCTCTCAAGAAACATAATTTCATATAGAGTAATTCTACAGAATATCATGCCATCTGGTATGCAAGCTAGGTGCAAATTTTAAAGCAAATGCTAAAAATGATGTTATTTCACAGTCTAATTAACATTCAAGTTTCAGGTTCCATCTATTGATGGTTTATCAATTTAAAGCGGAAAAAATACTATCTTTGCTTGGTAAAAAAATCTGTTTCATTCATATTCGAGAAAAATCAGGTACAAATACCATAAAAATTATCGTAGCTTTATCTTAAGAATGTGTTACAGTATTATCAAAATCTAAATCAAAGTTATTTGCAAAGTTATCAAACATTTCTTTAACAGTGCAAAGTCATCAACTAATTAACCATCATAAAGTATTTTTCTTGGATTAAATATTACTTATATCAGTAGTTGTACTTCCAACAATGTCCAACTTTTGCAATTGCGGAGCGACATCTGCTTCATATACATCTTGGTAGAAGACTGAATTATTCTCCCGCTCAAGGTTTTAGGGCTCTTTGATCCCAAAAAGCTTGTTTAAATATTGGACTAATGTTTCGTCTCCATACCTTTTTTCAACACTTTCCCAATAAATAATTATTCTTCATAACAAACTTTGACCCATTGTCCAATGACAATATCATATTCCAGTGGTCTCAACTCATCCATGGGTGACAAGTTTTTCTGATCTCTTAAATCATCTATACTGGATTCTTAAGATACATGAATTTCCGACCCTTCCTCTGAATCATTCCCACTGGCATCGCCTTTATCAGGCGTTAGGTCGTCAATTGCAGCCATAATTGCCTCCATTTTCATCCCAGCATGCTATCCCCTCAACCAGGTAGGACTGGAAGTGGCAATCATTTTCAGTGGTGCCTGGTATAAATCTTGTAATATGAAGGTGGAATAACTCCAATGATGTTGATCCCCTTCCACATCTGTAGATGGACAGGCTGATATTTCCTTTCATCGTGTAGCCAGTACTGGTGTAGAGAGTAATGCCGGCTGCGTCTTGGATACAAGGCAAATGTTTTTGCTGCTCCTCCCAGATCTACCAAGCACGGTCGTCATCAAGCAATGGAATTCCCATCATGTCTTTCCCCAGATTCGAAGAGAAAGTCTCGATGAGTTGTTGAATAAGTCGAGAACACACTTCAGAACCTCGAGTTCGCCTTTTAGAAAGGGTTGCCAATTCCTTTTTGCTGACGTGCTTTGTTATTCCCTCCTTAGGCACTGTTGTGATGCCAGAAGCAGAAAGCTGGGCATGCTTGGCTTCATAAAGCGTGTTTATATCTTAAGAATCCCATTCAAATATGCAACCAGACAGCTGCAACATAAATGTTCCATACAAGGCATGGGACTCCGAACAACACCCAACAGCTATACGCCGCATGTAATGCCACACATCCAGCCTGATCACCATGTCATGAAATTGGTGAAACTGTTCCTTTACTCTTGTGGAGCAGCAGTCTCGATCTACGTGAAGGACTCTTGGTGCTTCGACGTTTGCCCTTTCGTACCTGGACATGAGGCTTTCTCCCATGTCATCTAGACCATCGCCTTCTAAGTGAGCGAGGACTGACATCAGTACTTGTCCAAACTCATTTCCAACATTTGTGTGAAGGAAATGAGTACTTGTCCAAACTCATTTCCAACATCACGATGCTGTGCCAGCTAACTTCTTGACAATCCACAATGAGTAATTTATCACTATGTTTGCTATTATTGCCTGTTATACTTTGTGTACCCTGAAAAAAAGTGCTATTAAGCCAAATTATTGTTTTAAATTCAAATTTGAATACCTTTTTAGCAGAGTCCATTTTTAGGATTGTGCCAAATGTAGATGTTATTTTTGTTTTGGTTTCATCCAATCTGCCGATCACATCCTGTGGATAAACCGAGAGAAACCAGTCTGCTTTTGCGCAATCTCTTCTCTGTCAGAGATAACCCGCAAGATGCAGGAAAAGGGCTTTTTCGTGACGACGGGGAATTCACCCGAAAAGCGGGAAATTTGAATATAATCGACATAAAAGGAACAATTTCCCTCTGCTTTTCAAGGGCTTGGGACCTTCTAGTGACAAAACACTAGGCAGCATTAAAATTTTTTTATCGTCTTACTTACTCCACTTGTCTCTAATTATACCAGTTATAAAGTTCTCTTTTTTTGTATTCTTTTTTCCTTTTCAGATCTTCTACCCAGCTTTCGTAACTTTCATTTGCCGTCTCCTGGCAATACCAATTGCCAAAATACTGTCTATGGTTGGAAGGGTCTCGGGGTTTTTTACATTTTCCGCAGGTTATTGGCTTCTCTCCTCGAGTGTATATTTCCTTACTGTTACCTCACTTGCTTCTTTCTCCGCCTTTCGCTTTTGGTAATAGAACTGACTCCGATTGTGGTATTCGGGTGATGTGGAAGATGATGTGGATGGGGCGGCGGTTGTCGGGACATTCGGTGCTATGGGTTGTGGTGACAACCTGGGAACGACCGTTGGTGGTGGCGGTGGTGGTGGTTTTGGTTTCAGTGCAGAACCTCTTACGTTCCCCATTCCAACAGTATTTTCTGGAATAGAGAAGGTAAAAGGCTGTTGAATTGCTACTTGAGGTAGGCTTTGGTGGCAAAGGGGAGGCTTTTGGCAGTGGTTCTTCTGCAACTGTGCTCGGTTGCGGCAGTCGAATGCCTTGAATCAGGACATCCTTCTCCTTCTTTTTCTCACGTTTGTTGTACCTGGTAAAATAAAGGACGAGGTTAATAACAAAGCGTTGGCTGTCACGTTAGTATACTATGTTCTTTACCGCATTTCTTAGTTCTTAACATTTGCTCAATGTTGTCTGATTGATTTCGACCAACTGGATGTTACAGCCTCGCATTACGATAGCGTTGTTCACAACTTTGTCTCGTATTGCTTTGTAGCTGGAACAAACCAATGTCCAATTTGCAGTCATTGTCCCATTCGATCTACTGGGGACAGGGTGAACTTCGCACAATTGCAATATCATCGCCTCGACATAGCGATTGCAGTCTGGCCATTGAGCTGGTCCGGATGATGAGCCCAAGAAACACCTGTTTGAAATAAAAGTTAGTATGGAAGTGTGGGAATTGGTTGAATAGAAATGTTCTACCTTTTTGTACTGTCTAGGCCCGGGACGATGATGCTGCTACGTTTCCTGGGCGGTTTGAAGCGTCCTTTCGCCGATTTTGATCTGTGACGAGGGGAGAAGGGTGTCGGTTGCTTGTCATAGTCGTCCATGTCATCCCAAAGGCGAACTATCTCTTTTGCCTGGTCGTTGCTCAAAGCCGTGCTCGAATCTCGCAAGGAAGAGAGAAACACCGCCAGTGTCTTCACTTTGTCGAAGCCAGGTATATTATCTGGTCCTGTAAAAAGTAATTTTATCGATATATTAAATTTTAAACAGTTAACTTGTCGTTGAGAACGTCAATTTTCTCACATCATCCGCCGATTCTTCACGTTCTTTCTCGACGAAAACGTCCGATTGACTGTGTTCTCCAATGTAAAAAAAAATTTAGAATGATTGAAGAGATCTGGATCAAGTTTTTGCACGATGTGTGTACAGTACCTTCCCCATTTCCAAATAAAAATCAGTGGTATTTTAGTCGCTGCAAATGTCAATATAACGAAAGCTGAAAAAGGGCCTAACCAGGTATAAAACGATTTAGGTGGAGTGAAACGATTCCAAGGAGGTCGAACCCCTTCCACAGCGATAGATCGGCAACTTGATCTCCCCTTTTATCAAAGACCCAGTCTGGACGTAAAGTTGCAACTTCGAAACTAGTTGCTCTCTGTGCGAAAATAGTTGCTCTCTGTGATGTACTGGGTGGATTTCTCAAGGTACCTTTCACTATGCTGCTCTGAGATCTTCTTCTGCCAGACGGTCAAACTGTTACCAAATGTTCTTTGTCGCAACATCCTGATGACTTTAACATTGCAAGCATACTGATAGGTGATGAGGGCAGGCAACTGCAGTCGATCACCAGGGTCTAGCTGTTGCACAATTTCAGGACTCCAACTGATTACCTTTCTCTTGCATGACCGGCACTCCAGGTACTCCGATACCAAGTATGTACGTTTCGTCCATATCCAAGACTTGGCGAACCGAATTGAACGATGTACTCGCCCTACTCTTAACGGCCTCAATAGCACGTATTTTGACCTAAAAGTGAGAATA